CATAAAATCCCTTCTCTTTTTATACCAAAAGGAGAAGACTCATAAGTAAAAGAAGCTCCAATGGAGAAATCAAGAATGCCAAGAAACGTATACGAGCCTTTGAAGGTATATATAAAGATCCAAACTTTGTTTTCAAATGCTTTTCTTTTCCTTTCCAAATATGAAACTCATGTTGGATCTTTATGTTACAGACATATTTCCTCAAGGTTAACATCAATTGTCAAGGATGTAAAATGAAAGTGAAGAAAACACTGAGAAAAGTTGAAGGTGAGATATCTCTAAAATATTTTGTCTCTTCTAGGTTTTTTTTAGTCCAAGTACTGTTTCTTATGTTTCTTGGGTTTCAGGTGTTTACTCTGTTGATATAGACACAGACCAACAAGCAGTGATCGTTAGAGGTAACTTGGATCCAGAGATTTTGATCAAGAAGCTGAACAGAAGAGGGAAACATGCTCAGCTCTTGTTCATGAGTCCTTACCATAAGAACCAGTTTGGTGATCATCAAGCTGGCAACATAAGCTTGAGGAACACACAACACAATTTCGGAAGCAATCAGTTTAACAATGTCTCAAGGCAGAGTCTTAATCATCTGAGTGAGGAAGAGATGGGGAACAACATGAAACCTGTGATGATGAATGATGCAGATTATTTTCAGATGACCAATTCATCTGACAATTTCCAAGAGCTATTTGGAGAATCACCACGATATGAAGAGGTGAATCCAAATCTGATGAGGGAGATGGAGTTTGGGTATTCTAATTCATACCCTGCAACAGAAACAATGAATATGCAAGTTGAAGGAAGATCAGATGATATGATGATGAATGGGAGAGGCTTACGCAGTCAGACGATGATGAACAGTCCATCTTTAGTTCCTCAGTATATGAATCATGAACAGTTCAGCTCAAAGCAACTTCACGGCTTTTACTACTGATTGAAGAAGTTGGCTTAACTGGATATGTGTGTTTCACTACTTGAGGTTTATTTCACGCATTATTATAAACTAATCTAATAGTAAAGTTGTTTCTATTTCAATGTTGGTTAAGTCTGTGGAAGAACAAACTATGTTACTACATTAGCTAAAGACCATACTCAAGTGGTTACAAACCTAAAGCTAGATCATCAGCAGATAGGTCAATTGAAGAAATATAACCATATCATTATATTCCCTTCGTAACTTCAAATATCGCTATCTTCATGGTTATGGCCTATGGGTCTCGTTCGGTTCGTTGCTAGAGTGGGAACATAAAAACAAAAACCTAAAATAGGTTCCTCTGGTTGTATCAAATACTCAAAGCTATGTGCTCTGATGTTCAGAGGCAATGTTGGGCGTGAAGGATTAGAATTCAGAGTTAAAGAGAACCATATGAATTCACAGAACAGGGTTCCAAGAAAATGCAAACAAGACAACTACAAGACAGGCAGAGAAACAGAAACCGAAGAAATTTCGGAAAATAGTTCATGAATGCAGCTACAAGAGCACTGCAAGATGGTGATGCACCGATCATGGCAGACAGAAAACTAAACGAAAATAGACACAGGGGCTTGTTGTTCCTGCTGATGATTGATCAGAAAACATGAAACTGATAAGTGGAAAGTTTACTTAAACATGCATAGGAGCAGATATCTCAACAACAGGAGGCATGATCAGATCTTCATCAAGTCCTTCATTTTCACACCCGTAAAGCAGAAGAGAAGGCTAATGATTTGAAAGAGATGAATGCAATACCTGTCACTGATTAGTTTAAAAACGCATATATTGACAACGCGTGTAGTTGTTAACATATTAACACCAACAAACTGATGAAATTTTAAGTATCGAGACCACATAGCCAACAAAAGCATCTAACAGCTGTTTTAATATGCGATAATAGGAGAGCTTTTGCACATCCTCTTACTCTGAAGTATGAACTGTTTTATATGCATAAAACAATTGTGCAACATAATTATTGTTTTCCCAAAATAGAGATCTCAACTAACTTACCCATAATCATTATTGTAGATTGATTATGTTTACATTTTTCACCTGCTTCAGCTGTATCTCTCAGCTTTCAGTTCAACATTTGGGTTTCGAATTTCATCCTGGCTTTGTATTAATCTAATCTCCAAACTGCTTGAAGTGGGATCATACCCAGCTTGTTTGTAATCATCAAGCGTTCTTCGCAGAAGTGCCTGCTCACCATAAACGGAGTTATTCAATCAATAAATTCCAATAAGTACACACAAATAAAAGACTAAGAAACTATTATATATTCAGCAGAGCTCCAGAAACTTCTTGAATAATAATAACATTGTAAGACAACTTAGTAGCTTCACAAGTTTAAAAGATTACCTGCAACGTTGAAACTGCAAGCTCAGCTGCCTTGTCAAGGTTGTCAGGATATTTCTGCATAGTACAATTATTATACAATAAACGTCAGAGAGTATAAGGAAAACTGATAGAGAATTTATTGCTTTCATAAGGAAACGAAGAGGCATTACGTTACTCCAACCAAGTAGAAGAGCAGTCATGAGATCTCCTGTTCCCTGCAGGTGGTATTTAGGAAAGTCTGTCAATTTCAGCATTCCACATGGAATTCTAACATAAACAATGTAGAAATAGAAGTGAGAATCATATGTTTGGTATTCTATTAGCATATTCCAATTCCGGAAACAAGTAAACTTCCAATTTAGCCTTAAAATATCAGTACCACTGGACAAAAGGTTCTACTTGCCAAGCACTATAAAACCCATTATGATTGGAGTCTACTTCGTCTGTAAAAAGTTAAGCTAGTTTTATGCTAATATTTGAATGTGTTAAAGTAACGAAGTGAATACCGTAAAATACGCAGGGAGTTTGTGTATCAAAATCTTGAACTGCTCAGGCTTCAGACCCTGAGGTTCAAACACTAAGATCAGTTAACTTGAAAGCAACTCTTTTAAAAAAAAAATTACAAGATAATAAGGCGTAAGGCTTCCAAAAGCTAGACTATGTTTATGTTATTCAAAGAAACCTACCTTTTCTTTCTGATGGCTTCCAATAAGCAATAGAATGCCTCCTATAGTAATACTAGTAATCACCACCTGCCAAACATTAAAATCATAGAATTTATATAGAAACGACAAAGCTGATCTTGCACACTACGCAAAAGATACTTCTCAACCCTTTAAAGATGGATATAAGCAGCACCAAATTAAATTATATGGAAGCTAATTTAGGAATTGTTACACAAAAGACTTCCAAAGCTTAATGAAACAAACCTTGGAAGGACCAGCTGCATGAAGAATAGCACAAGCTTCCCTGCCATCTTCCTCAGAATTTATCCTGTAATATTTAAGGACTGTGATGTTTGGAGCCATAACAAGAGAAAAGTCTACAGTAGGGAATCCTCGATGTCTGGTGTTCAGACTTTTCACTACTAAAAATAATTATTAGCTAACACGATCAATCAAAGAGCTAAATGTCACTATCATGTGAGCATAAACTTCATAGGTGCAAAAGATATGAACTCTAGTTCCTGATAACAATGATCATAGGTGCATAAACTGATAGGGGGGTAAACCACAGATCACAATTCCATTCCAGATAACCCATAGGCTAAAGAATGCAAGTTTTGCTAGTTATTAAGTACCTTAATCCTGTTAATTTCTCTGCCTCAAACTGGTTAGGAGTCAACATAGAAGCCAGGGGAACGACCTAACCAAAAATATAATGTGATTGCCAGATTGAAAAAAATGTTTCAACTCAAAGAATGGATCGTTTTTGCTGAGAAATAGGGTATTATATAAATAACATTATCAACTGATCAAAATGAAAGTACACAACCACTCATTTTTTCTTTTAGTCTTTACCTTTTCACGATAAACATGTACCAATTCTTCAGGCACATACAACTTTCCTTCATCACCCATCACCGGATCACATACTAAACAAGATCAAACTAATATTAGCATAACTACACCATTTACGAAATCCAAAACACGGTCACTTAACAAAGAATGCATTCCCTCACTCCAGTTACAAATACTAACAGATATAGAGGCTAACTTTATCATTGGTCCAATACTTCCAATGTATCCAGAACATAGAAAACTTTCAGGAACTAAAAAGCCAAACAAAAAAGGATTTTGCAGGCATAGCAAATGTACTCACCATATGTAAGATTCGGGTTTATAGAGCGAAGCTTATTGATCACTTCCAAAATTGTATTCAGAAAAGACACTGATCCAATATAACCTGCATTTCAAAAACACAAAGAATTAAAGATCTAAACATAGAGTTCTGCTGCAATGAGAAAAGATTTCACCAAAAGCATTACCAAATGATGTATTACGCAAACAATGATACAACTGCATTTCAATGATAAGCATCCTAAAAGCTACATGAGTCAATCAAATGGCGCAAGTGAGAAAGCATCCGGGCGGTGTAGTTCCTAAGCTTAGAATTTGAAGGAATATATGATAGTTCTATGAGAATATTGGAAATGAAGGGAATTTCAGTTACCACCTCAACTTACTAGGAAAAGAGAGTTGAAATTCCCTTCATTTCCAATAATCTCATAGAATTATTTTCCTCAAGGAAATATCAATTGACCAATAAAAAAAAAAACCATTTAGTGTTCAAATTGAACGGAATTCTTTGATTGCTACCTGTTAATAAATGGGTGTAGAACAATAAATCGTTTGCTTCAAGACCTTCAATCAAATCCCACAATTGTTCACCATTCAAAACTTGTCCCTTGAATGTAGGATACCCTGCAATAAAATTCATAAAGCCAAACCAATAGATTCCCAGAAACCAATCCTAAAGAGATGAAAACAGTTGTTTCAAGAACATTACATTACCTGTATGATTTGAGAACTGTACTGAATTTATAGGATCCACATCATATCCCAACAATTGAAGAGGAAAGACAGCTGATTTGTTACCAACATATCCCTACGAAAAGAAAAGAATACCGTAAAATGGCATCACATTTTTAGCAGCACACAGGAACGATGCATCTCAATGATAAATTGAAATGGCCTCACTTAACCATCCAAATTCAAGGAAAAAAAACAAAAAAATGCATTTACTCACAGAAAATTCCTAACCTTAGTTGCAATCGATAAACACGAGATTATCCTCACTAATTGGTAAATTCAAGAACAGAGTATAATAATGGTTCTACACAAAAAAAAAATATATATTCTATTACAAAAAAAAAACCTTAAATTTCTGAAGAATGATTCCAAATCTTTAATCTTTCATATTTGGGTCGTTGTATCGAATAACACAAAAACAGAAACTAGGTAATAAAAGTTTTAGAGAGGGAAAAAGAGAAAACCTGTACTGTATGTGACTGAATACTAAGAACTCGACCAGTATCCGAAGGAAGAGCTAACGACAGAACAGGAGGTTTTGACATTCTCGATCTTCACCAATCAAAATCGAGAAATATAGAATTAAACGCAAATTGAATTGAAACCCAAAAAAAAAAAAATGCCTGATTGAGATTAACCTGGAACTTTGATTTTGGAGGAACTTAGGGGATCTAAGAGAGGTGGTGGTCGTCGTAAGAGAGAAAGGCATAAAGAAAAAAAAAAAGCTGACCTTTTTTAGATAAGCGTATCTTTGTTGACCAGCGGGAATTATAATAAGACTCTGAAAACTTATGAGTACTGTTTTTAAAGACCAGATCTTAACCGGCTGGTTAAACTTGTCCGAGTGCAAACCGGAGGACAATTATAAGACTGTTTGGTTAACCGGATGTGGAAAAAAATAATTGATCAAGTTTAGGTAATTAATCCAACCAACGAGAACGAGTTATTGTATTTGGGACCATATCTATTTTGGAACCGAGAACCGGAATATATTGCCGAGGGTCCCATTGAGATATTTTTGGGAACCAAAACCGACCCCAACAGTCACACAAATATATGAGATATTCATGTCTCCAATACTCCGATTTGGTACCATGGTATAAATTGGATATTAT